ATTCTAGACGCTGAATCTCTGATGTTTTCATTTAAGTCGACTTCAGAGTACCCCTTAAAAGATCTTCATCTTGGAGTTTGCCATCAAAGAGATGGAAGAAACACCATCTGTAATTTCTTGGAATAAGTACATTTGTATATCAGTTTTGACAAATATATTTGTTTGCATTTCTGTTGAAAGGCATTTCATTTTTGCATTATTTTTTCGGCCGATTTGCTTTACAGATGAAGTACTTTGGCTCCGAAATTAAATGCCAGAGGAGGAAAAGTGTGACGACACTTCCTGGAGACAGCAGGAATCTCCGAGCTGGTCAAAGGTCAAATCATAGGTCACAGTGACCTAATTCTTGCACTCTGTACTCCACCATACTAAGATGTCATTGTACACAAAATCTAGTTAATCCAGGTAAAATAGTATAAAAGATATAACCCGGACAAGCATTTTCAAAAGTATAGACCAAAGGTCAAGTCATAGGTCTCAGTGACCTTTTTCCTGCACTGTGCATTCTGCAATTCCAAGATATCCTTGTACACCAAATCTGGTTACTCCAGGTGAAAGAGTATAGAAGATTGTCCCGGACAAACATCTCGGACGGGAGGACGGAAAGAAGGACGAAAGGACGGACGGAGTGCAAACCTAGAGTCCCTCTTTGGAACCGTTTGGGGACTAATAAAGCTAGAAAATTATCAATAAAACTTGGAAAGGAATTTGAAAATAACTATCATTACAGGCTTAGAGTAACCCGAAGGCAATATGGAAATACCTAAAATAACACCGACAAAGAAGTTAATTTTCCAATGCAACCTATACATATTAACCGTGAATCTGTGTTAAAAGAACTTCTTGAACTAAAATTCAACACATCATCAGGTTTAGTTAGAGTACATCCACGTTTTCTAAAGGAAACGGTAGACTGAATTTCAGCACCTTTATCATTACTACACAATATGTCATTGAAATTAGGTACTGTACCAGATGAGTGGGAAAAGGCACAAATTATCGCTATATTGAAAAAGGGAGACAAGTGTGAGCCTTGACATTATAGACCGGTCAGTCAAACGCCAATTGTGTTAAGTATAAGAAACAATTTTAAGAAGTCACATTATTAAATACATTACGGTAAGTTCTTTATAATCTAAGAAGCAGTACGGATTTGTATCTGGGAGATCTACTAGTTTCCAACTTCTCAAAGCCTTAGATAAATGGACCGAACTGTTAACTAACGGAGTTGCGATTGACTGTATATACATGGACTTCCAAAAAGCATTCGATACTGTTTCACATAAAAGTATTTTTAGTAAAATGTCCTCATATGGAATAAGTAACGTAATCATTAACTGGACGTCCAGTTTTATTTCCGACATGCAGCAGCGAGTATCATTGAACGTAGAAAACTCAAAAGGGACAAACGTAACATCTCGAGACCCCAAGGATCAGCACCAGAACCGACATTGTTTGTTACATTGTATATAAACACTCTTCCTGATACGCTATAACGGAAACTTACCTTTTCGTGGATGATAATAAAGTTTTCAAAAGTATACGTGGAAACGCTGATGTGGATATCTAACAGGAGGACATGAACATACTTTCAAACTGGAGCGATATATGGTTATCAAAATGTCATCCTTAAAAGTGTAAATGTATGCATATATGCCGACCCGGTGGAGAAAGAACATATTACAAAGAAAATGAACCTTTATAAGTACACAAATAAAAGTAAAAGAAAGCAAACTCTAAGTTTGCAGTTATTAGGCGATCCTTTCAGTTTTTAAACGAAGGTTTGTCAATGTTATTCAAAACGTTAGTAAAAGTTCATCTTGAAAATGCAAATATTGTATGGTATGGCTTCAAATTTAAGCATATCGATATGATTCAGGCAGTACAAATGAGAGCAACGGAACAGATACCTGGATTTCGGAATTTATCATATCCAGCTCGACTGAGGAAACTCAAATTACCCTATAGAGGGGACATGATTGAGGTGTTAAAAATAACAAACAATAATTACGATAATTGTTCAACAGATTTTGTTAAAATTTGGAAAGATCTATCAAAAAGAAGGGGAATAAGAGAACATCCAATAAAAGCATTTCCACAACATTCTAGAGTAGATACTCGCAAGTGTGATTCACTGTCTTAAAGAGACACGGTTTATAGATAGAGGGGAGGGGGTTCAACTCACACATTGAACCACACGAACAACTCAAATGTTGTGAATAGACCGACAGACTGAAATAGAAATCATATCTAATCATAAAATAATTGGTCATGTATTTTTTTTTTTTTCAATGTGCTTTTCGGTGGTGGGGATTCAAAATTATACAAATGGTGGGGCTGACCTCCCAGGGTGCTGAGGGGCGGGGCCAAAAGGGGGCAATTTGGCTATATTGCTACAAACGACTTCTGCAGAACTATGCACTGGATATCAATCATATTTGATCAAAAGCATTCATGGGAGGCAGGGATTCAAAATTGACACTTGTAAGGCTTACCCCAAGGGGGCTAAGGAGCTTTGGACAAAAAGGGTTATTTGGCTATATTGCTTTAAGCGACTTCTTCTCTGAAACTAAGTGATGGATATCAACCATATTTGACTGGAAACATCCCTAGGTGGTGGGGATTCAAAATGGTACAAATGGTGGGGCATATAGAGACGAATACAGTCATGATATTAGAATTGACCCCAGGGTCTACCCCATCCTTTCAGACTTAACCCCTGGGTCATAACTTAGAAACGGTTGAGATCCACACCCCATCCACACCCCAAAACTATAAATACAAATGATGGGCAAAAAGAGACGAATGCAGTCATGATATTAGAATTGATCCTGGGGTCTGGTCACATCTTCTGAGTCACAGCTAGGAAACAGTTGAGATCCCCACCCCATAACCATACATAAAGTTGCTGGGCATGAAAAATCGAATACAGATATGCTACATATTCCCTTGGATCTCTTTTGTAGAATATTTTGCCATAATTGCTTAGTTATTCAGGTGAACGATACAGGCCCTCTTGTCTCTTGTTTGCTTTACAGGTTAACAGATATAATTTCTGCATCAATACCCTCAGCAATTTAGAAACCTTCAGAAATGTTATCTTTGTGGATGAAACCAGTGAACAGAAGTCCTCCAATGGTAGGATGGGTTTTACACAGCACGGACCTTCCATGGACAGGCTTACATCAAAGGCCCCAGAACCAAAACATGCATACAAGGTAAAATAAAACCATTTAGCCTCTTTGAAATGAAAGATATTTAAATTTTAGTCGGTTATTCAGCACAATTGAAACAAACATTTTTATATACATGTAGGACCTGTTACCATGGAATTAGAAAATGCAATCACTATTTATTACTGTTTATTTAAATAATAAGTTTTAATTGTAACAGGAACTGTTACACAAGTCCCCCAAACTGCTTAGACAAAGAGAGAGACTGCTAGTATCACCTTGGCTAACACCGATAAATGTGTTAATCAATCATAGGCCAGGTATGCAATGTTACACCTACAAACCATCTTTAAGGGGAAATCTTGACGAATCAGAAACCAGTTACTGCAGCCATTTTGTCCAGTCGAATAGTGACTGATTCGTTAATGCTCCTTTCCGGGTTATGAACAAGTGTATATACATTACCAAATGTCAGCATAAACAGACCCTATCTGAATTTAGATCAGTCAAAAGTCCGCCAATTATTACAGATGCTGAGTTTGTTAACACTTCATTTATTTAACAATATTCTCTCAACTGTATATCCCATTAAGTCCATGTCAAAGTAATGCTATAGATTACAATAGAATCAGTGTGACACAGCTAGGTTAATACTGAATACATTTTGTGGGTGCTAAACTTGACAGACATCTTATGAGTCTGGTTTGGTTTAGTACTATCAACAGCTATAGTCATTTAAGGACAGCCTTCCCTGTGTGCAAGATGCATGCGTGTAGTGTATGCGTGTGTGTTTTTGGGGTCTGCGATATGTTCGTGTTTGTCTCCTGGTGATAGCACAGAACTGATGCGAACTTCACTGAAATATACTGCCGAAGACCCCACCCGGTCACATTTTATACTGACAATGGGCGAACCAGTCGTCCCACTCCTAACTTGCTAAGCATTAAGCATTTAGTCAAATATACGTCCCCAAAACAATTTGTGTAGGAATGACCTCAAGGCATCTTCATTCAAAAATAATTGCTATTGGCAAGGGGCCGTAAAACGGCCACATTTATAGTACCAATCCATTATCGTGGTCTAAAAACTCCTATATATAAACTTTTCGTGGTCGTCATTTAGATATTCTCTGAATGTTCACCATGTTACATGTACTATGTTAAAAATGTATTCGCTACGTAGAATGGATTGGCTATGGTCGTTGTGTTTATTTGTTTATTTTCTTTTTATCTAACACTTTAAATACATTGGAACGTTCCTATCCAATGCTTACCATGAAAAGAGTGTTAGATAAGTGTTAAATATAAACATGTGATAATGACATCTTAAACCCTATAACACAATTTAAGTAGGGATTTAATGGGCACGTGATAACAGAACTTGACCTAACACAATTCTCAATGTTCAAGCCATCGTTATAACGTTTTTGTTAATTCCAGATCGTCAATACCAAATTACAACTTTGTAGAGCTTGCATTTCTGGTACCAAGTCCTAAACTGTTATAAACACAAGATCGAGTTTTAGTTGGTTGATGGTACTTAATACCAAAGTGTTATACAGACTCAAAATTCAAATGAGTTTCAGTTTCTGGTACTTAGTAACAATCTGTAATACAGACAAACTGAAAAGACAAAAAAAATAAGTTGTCTATATCCCTAACGTTCACTGTAATTTGACCGGTATTAAACCTTCTTACGGACGTATCAAAACGCTTCAGTTTCGGTTGATGCAATCTGGAAACAACTTGTCTGTTGACTTATTAAAACGATGATATTTTTTTCATTGTTTTGATATAGAAAACAAAATTAAAAAAATCTAAAACTCACTCTGGATAATTTGATGGAAATAAGGGCGAGGTAATACATCTGTTTCCAGTTTCCAGGTCAATCGTCTCCCCAGTAGAGGAACAGGCAGCTGCTGTAAAGGAAACAGGAATATACAGCTTATCAATTCAATTGTTATCTAATTAAAGAGAGTTTGCGAAATGGCACATTTAGATATGTTGATGAGTCCTAGAAGGATGACCCAGTGTGATTGGTTTTGTGACACACTATATCTATTACCAAATGCTGTAGTTGCCATCACATGTACATTTGTATGTGTCTTATGCTCATTCATGAGGACAAAATATCTTTGTACAATTGCATTTTTCAAATTGATTCTTGATGAAAAATAGCATACATCCCTGATTTTTGGAAACGAACTTCGCTTAAAATGAAAATACACGTCTTTTACAATCGCCATATCTAAATATCAATTTTCAACATTGAATACCCGATCCTTGTCTAGTGGTTATGAATTACCAGTGTCAGAAGATGTTGTCTGCACGGCGGCAATGTACTTGAACTCCAGCACCTCTTCTCCCCCTTGGGGTGGGTTGTTCGAATTGTCCGGAAGTATTTCGATAGTCGAGAACGTTCCTCCAACAGTCAATGGAATAGTCCTACTTTCACCCTGAAATGATGCCAGTTGATTTCCTGTCAATATAAGAGACATCACTTTAGTGTACTCGTTCACTACCTTTTATGTTTTAAAGAATATATACCTTAGCAAAGTACATTTTAGTGTTTACTATTTACATTTGAATCGTATCACCTGTGAGAGGGGGAAAACTAAATCAGATTTGGACAAAGCAAATGTTTACATAGAGACCATTAAAAAGGTACAAGGAGAAAAAGACCGGGTGTTCCGGAAGGGTAAGCGTTCTCTGCTTTATCGACGATATCCGCCACGCTAATCCAAGACAGGAAACGTCACTGAAAGCTTCGGTTGTGACAACAACAAAAAAACAAGGCAGATTAATGAGCATTGACCTACAAACAAACAACATTTAGCAACAAAGAATCTTCAAATCAAGAAGTTCTTCTGACTGTTCAAAGAAACGGCACCGAAATACGGTCGTACTTTAATGTTTTTATAAACATTTTGATCATGTGATACAAATATTAACTTTTTTTCTTTTTAACACATTTTACATGAGTTTTATTTGCAAGCCCATGGAAACGAAAATGAACTCTAAGATTCGTTTTATATAGAAATTTAAACCAATTTGTATGATGATATATAATGAATATAACGAGGCGATACCTGATTGTCTATGACACTTAATAATAAGTATACCAACAGGAAAGTTTTACGACAGTAACTAGCAAAGAACAAATTACATCAATTAGCATAACTGATGTAGCTGTATGTTGTACAAAAAGTATAACTTTGCAACATTTAAGGTTATATTAGAAGCAGACACTCTCATTAAGCTGGCACACCTTGCAATTACAAAAGTTAACCTCTAAAACATTCCATTTAATTTTATAAGGTTTTCATGATTATGAAGCAAGTTTTATCGTAACTAAAATATTTAACAATCTACACATTATATACCCACTGATCTGCCACAAAGGCTCCTCTACTTTCTTGTATTAGTGTTTTATCACGACAAGATTCATTAATGAACAACACATTTTTAAAATTATTCTAAAAAGGATAATTTCGAAATCCCCCAACCCCCTATCAATATCAGGCATTACGATATGTAAACTTTTATCAAGTAACAAAGTTAGGTTAGATTAAGGCTTGATTTGTATTATTTCCTAAACGACTAAATTATGCAACTAAATTATGCTTCATAAGAGTCCGCTAAGTTACCTTAGGAAAACCTTAAATTATTCCCAAACTTATGTCAATTTCATAATTCGTAAATATTATGTATGGAATTGAATCTATTGCATATGTTCTCCGCCATTGTACAAGATATTTGTCAAGTATTTATCTATATGTATATTTCTGCACGCCTATATGCAATGTGCATTTGGTAATAAATTGAATTGAATTGAATCAGCAAAGTTAATGACAATAGAACAGTAGGATGTGTCTCTACGTTAGGATAACGTTTATGTTTACGTGTTGCATTTCGTCCTACATTTCGACAATCTTACAACAAAGGATTTTGCGAGATGAAAGTTGGTGACAACTTTGGTTATGTTTTATGGTCATCATTATGAATGCCGACGCTTGTTTTTATGCCAATTAGTGTTCAAGATTCAAGAAGCTTTATTTAACGTCGCATATACATGTAACATAATAACATTTGCACTGTAGTGCTATTCTTGCGACAAAACATATATAAAATTCAACAAATTTCACAGTACTTATGAATAACTATAAAATCAGGACAACAATTCAAATTAGATATGCTAAAATTATACATTAGAGCATATGATATCACACTTGAATGTCACACAAGTGTTATGAAAGACAAGTTAAGACACTATACTAGTGTAATGTACATATATGCTAATGTAGCAAAGTGTAAAAATTTACAGGATATACACTAATATAGTGTGAATTAAAAAGAGACAATGAAGTCATAAATAGAAACAAGAGCTATAATTATGATATTGTGGAAAAGTAATGATCTTTTAAATAATGGAGCTCAAATCTAAAATAAATATCAATTATATAATAAGTATAATACTGAAGTACATTAAATTAAATAATACAAGCAACAGTGAAATTAAATTAAATAGTTGTTATATAAAACATGTAGGTAGATTCCAAAGGGGGACAACTCACACTATATGGTGTGTGCAGATAGCACATGAGCAGAAATTGTTGTTCCAGGTGTGGAGCAGCCCACGAAACGACTTACAGTTTTCAGCTAATCGAAGTTCATTTGGTAGGCTGTTCCACACCTGGGAAGCAGCAAATCGGGAAGATCTCTTACCATATGTGGAGGTGTTCACCTTTGGAATCTTTACCAGGTTATCTTGTATCAGATTGTAAAAAACTTCTTTCCTCTCAACAAGATTTTGTAAAATTGATGGAGAAATTTCATTTAAAATTTTAAAAACCTCAGAGGCCATATCTTTCCAACTTGTTTAATTTAACCGGGGTCTTCCCCGAACACCAACTCTGCTTAAAATCACATGTTTACATAGGTGGCCAGTTGTGATGATAGTGAGTGATAGTCTATTGCAGAAATGGTGTACAGGTAAATTGCACAGGTAAATCAACTTCTAATATGATAATCAATAACTGCTAATAATTGCAAAACAATAATTAATATTTAGAACAGTTTTCAGAATCAGTCATATATTTATTATGATGTATTAGTTAAACTTGTATTTTCAGATTTGTGTTAATTCTCTTATATTTATTGTCATATATCAGTTAAACTTGTACTTATTTTCAGATTTCTATGAATTGTGTTTAACTTGTGGGGATTCCTTGAGTGGTGTTCCGTACAGGTAACACGTACAGAGATGGAGAGGGACAAATTTTGCAAAATTACTCAACCTAAATGTTTCACAAGACGGCGAAATTTGGCAACATGTTTTCTTATCTAACACTGGACTTACCTGTGGAGAAAATGTTGTGATGCTTACGGTAGTTTGTCAAATTTTGGCTGATTTCAAGTAGCGTAACCGTGGACCCATACGCCGCACGTGATAAGATGGCGGACAACAGAGCCAGAGGTACTCAGAATGAAGAGAAACTTTATATGAAGACCAGAATATGAGTGAAATGATGAACATGATAAACGAGGTGAATGTTCGGCTGACAGCGATAGAAAAAAATACTGCTAATTTGGAGGAAATTAAGGAAAAACTCGGTACGTTGTCTGTACGAGTGGAAAAGTCTGAAACTGAAATAGTGGTTGTAAACAAAAGAATTCAGGATTTAGAAAGTGACTTACAGGGCAACAGCAACATAATGGACAGAGTAAAGGCATCAAACGACACCATAGGACGAAACGTTACAAAAATTAAAAAGGATATGGAAGCACTGGAGCAGTCTGATAATGATATACTGGATGAACTCGATGACATAAGAGACATGATGGCTGACGTGAAGGAGAAAGCAGTTGAAGCCCAATGTAGGAGCATGAAATACAATTTAATCTTTTCGGGAATTGAGGAGAAAGTGTGGGCCCAGAATGATAACGCTGAAAACTGCGAAGAAACTGTAAAGAAATTTATAAATGAAAAATTGAAAGTTGAGGGTGCACATGCTATCCCGATGGCCAATGTGCATCGAATTGGAAAAACGGGAAGTACCAGGGAAGGTAGACCACGGTCTATTATTGCAAAGTTTGTGCACTACGGTGATTTGGTAAACGTTAAAAAAAGTGCGGCGAAACTGAAGGGAACAAACTACGGAATTAACGAACAATATCCAAATGAAATAGAAGACGTCCGAAAAAAACTCTATCCGATACAAAAACGTGCAAGAAAAGAAGGGAAAAAACTGTTCTGGTCAGAGACAAATTATTTATTGACGGGCAATTGTACGCGAACCCCGTGACCCCGAACTCTACTTCGTACACACCGAGTAAACAAACCAGAAAGCGTCGACGAGAACACTCTGATGTCTCACACTAGGAATGCGCCGGAGGGCAAACCTGAGCAGACAGCACGCGTTCTAACGATGAATACTTAACCTGAAGTGTAATAATCGACTCTGTTTATGACTCGTGTACAGTTTATAATACCAAAATATTGGTTTTGAATGTTGGTAGTATTCTGAAAAAAATGCAATACTCAGACTTTATTGATTTTGTAAATAGTTTTGATATATTATGTCTAAGCGAGACAAAAACTGACGACTTAGATGTTATTGATTTACCTGGTTTTGTAATTAAAATGAAGAATCGTTTTCAATTTAGAAAAACGAAAGCTGGCGGAATAACACTGACTTTTAAAGGGACATCACGTGAAAAGGCGGGGTTTTTTTTAATGAATGTATGTATTGTATGCACTTCCACTTATGTTACCTCGCTATCCCCATATTCATAGTCCGTTCCAAATGTCCAGTTTGACCACTTGAATTGTTCGGGAAAGCCCGGCTAAAAATAGCGCCGATAACGTCACCTGATTAGGCAGCAAACACAAGTGGTGCGAGCGAGATGAAACGGTTTACAAAGGGGCCCTCAGAGAGGGGCCGTCAGGCAACTGCAACTTCTTACCGCACTATGAAACCAAGTTATATGATTTCTAATTCCGTATTCAAACTTATTGAACAGTAATTATTCATCATCAGAAGTTAATTGCACACTTGCCAATATTAAGAATTTAAATTTATTTAGCTTTTAACATAAATTTGTTGCCAATAAAATTAAACAAAGGATGGGGCACAAGTTTTTACAATTTATCACAGCCTTCTCCCGTGACCGGTACAGGTGGTACGGGGCTAAACACTCCCTCAACAATGGGACAAACCTTTCTGTAAAAAGGAATATTCACGAGACGAATATCCCTTTTCAAATGTTTACATAAAGTGCATATATGCAATGACAAACTACACGCGAATATAAAAAGGAAACGTTTGTGAATTTATTTATTACATTAAACAACTCAATGTCTTTGGCCATTTTTTTTCTAGACCATGAATATAAATCTATGTATACTCTCTTTCCCACTTTCACTGTCTCCAAACGCTAACATTTAGGAAGTCATATTAACCATCACACACAATAAAC